TCTTCATTCACATAACCCCTGTAGTGGGGCCAGTGGGGGGCTCAATATATAGGGAAAGACCCTGTACATTTCAAGATAGGTTCTTTTGAATCAAATAATTTCATTCACAGTATCCCATAGTGGTGCTTCGAACTTATAGGGGGTTTTAGAATACACCAAAACAAAAAAAATAAACTCGACTTTTAGCGTATTTGAGTAAGAAACTTTTCAACGTCCCTACCATCTCTATAAAATTTCGCATACACCTTATTGTGGAGACAGTTATTCGAATTTCAAAAAAATCATATTGCTGGACAGATCACTGATCACCAAATGGTCCGCCGACAACAACCACCAAAATGATGGAAGCAAAGGAAAAACTGAACAACTGAAAGGTGCAGACGCCAAAAAAAAACTCCTAGTTCCTACTAAATAAAAAACTATCTGCTGAATTTCCCGACGATATTGAACAGCACTGGCCAATGCCTATATAAAGGCACTATGCCGACAATCTGCCAAGAATCAACGGGCTTCATAACAAGAAGACATCAGACATCAGGATTGGTTTGATGAAAAACATAAAAAAATTCAGAGCGTAATCGATCAGAAAAAGAGAGCCTATAATATCCGGCAAAACGAGCCAAATTCAAGAAAAGCGGCTCAAGTAAAGAAGGACAAGAATGCTTAAAAACCAGTGGTGGGCAACGAAGTCAATTGAACAGCGCCACAGAGGCAACATGGTCAGGTATGTCACCCTGCTACTGAAAGATCCTGCTTCCATTAACTGCTAATGGAAGGACTCTTTTCAGGAACTCTTGAACAGAGATTCCAACGTAGATGATAATATCTTCAACAAAGGCCCTCAAACCTCACTCAAAACCATCTAAGTGACGTTCCTTCCCATCAAGAGGTTAAAAAAGCTAACAGCCAACTAAAGAATAATAAAGCTGGTTAGACGGAGTGATTATTTATATAGATTTCATTGTGATAAGATAATGTTTCAGTAGCTTTGACTAAGCATCACCTTGTCTAAGGTCACTAGATCATCTTTTTTCTTTGCTGATATCAGAAGATCCTGAAGTTCACTGATGGTAGTTCATGAATTAGGCCTAGACTCTGATGGCACAACACGGAATAATGGAGACTTTGCAAAATCGACTGGGCTCTCGAAGTTCTAAGGACCTCCAGATTATCAAATTAGAATTTAGAAAAAAGTTTTTAAAAAAAAATCAATCTTCTTGACTGTGTGGCGGAATGTAATCAAATAACACTTACAAGTGTAAACGTAAAACCCACCATAACTCATATATGAGCTTGTATCGATTCTCAACACGGCTAGATTACACAATACGTCTGGTTGTGCCCTCTAAGATTATCAAAGCTGTAAAGTTCCCAGAGATGCAAAACTTGGAGAGAGAGACTTATTATTCTGAATGAATATTCTGCTGCGCTGATTCACGTCTAAAAATGGTAAATTCGAAGATTTTAAAGAAGGTAAATAGTGCTCAAGGTGTTGGTTTGAAAGCTCTGGAGATTCCAAGGATCCTAAAATCATCGAAGTGACATATTTATTAAGATCCTAGAATGAAGCCTCTTCTTACTCAAGATGTACAGGCATGAGACTTATCTTATAAAGATTCTGAAGACGCCGAAAAATGTCAAGATTCTAAAGCTCCTTATCTGGGCCTCTAGAGACTTCCAAAGACTCCAAAGTAAAAGACTTTGAAATGTCTCAGGCAAGGTTCATGACTAATACCATTCTAATACCTATTAGTTGTTCTCTAAAGATGGCTGCGATTAAAGTCCTAAATCCGAAGTATTCAAAAATTTTAGCGATGCCGACAAATTTATTGAAGATTCAAGACTGTCAGTAGGTACAAAACTGAAGAGTGCAAATTAGAAACTTGGAACGTTCTCATCGGCCTCAAGAATTCAGAATTAAGAATATACCTAAAGACTTTGACTTTCCTGACTTTAGACCTAAGCCATAAAATTCTAGATTTAAGAACTTAAGCCTTTCAATATTCCAAAATGGCCGCCCGAAAATCTGGAGACTTCAAAGATTCGTAGGCGCTTCATTTGATGTCTTGCAGTTCACCATTTACTTAGCCCCCCGCCCACCCACCTCCTTCTTTAAAGCATGGAGCAAAATTAAAAATTCCTGCATTTGTATCTTGCTGTTGCAGAGCTTCTGTAATTCAGCACCAAATCTCAAGTCTCCCAGCATGCCAAAGCACCAGTGATGACGTAGAGAGCGTGTCGTTTGTCACTTTGAAGTAGGGTGTTAGCACCACGAGGGCGTTCTTAAGAAATATATGAACGGGCGGAGCGTAATTTCTATCAGAATCATCTGTCAATGGTCAAATTCGTGAAATTCACCTTGACCTAACTTTTTAAATAGAAAAGGGAAAAGGTGTTGCTTATTATTTTGTTGGAAATAGATGTGATTCTCATCATTCGCATATGGTGATCCATCTTTTTGAATCAGTTTGAAATTTTCGGGATTAATTTCAACTTCTATCTGATCCATATTACCAACTTTAAGAATTGCAAATTGGAACTTAGGACCCAAAATATCAAAAATCTCGTTGATTTCGAATTATCGCAAACGACAACCTAAAACAAACCTGAAACGTACTGCGCATGTCGGGTCCCTTTTACCCATGTCAACTAGCAGGTCGTTTCGAGCGCGCTCTGTGTGCACACCAACCTTTATTTTTAAACGCGTGGAGCGTTGAAACCGATAAAGCCGAAGGGATTATTGAACGCATTTGGGCGATCGTGGAGCGCCGGACGTATTTATGAACTTAGCCCAGGTTATGATTCCGCGGGCTTCTGCTTTTTTGAATACTTGGTTTTAACTCTTTTTTAGATCTCGTTTGCCATCAACATTCTTGTTTGCATCTTCCTCTTGGTTATAATTCATGGGCTACACCATATTATGACCGCGATTACCAAAAACGTACCGAATAATACGTATCGAAAAATTGAAAAATGAAATGAAGAATCTCTATTTTGACAATTCGATACGAATTTCGACTCGACTCGTAAAATCAATGAACTATAACCAAAAACTGAAATGCTAACACATAAGGAAGAACGTGAAGCCTAGTGCAGCTGCTGCGGAGGGGATACCTGTTTTTGTCGCACTCATTATGTTAAATGGCGAAAATTGCTTCCAACACGTATTCCAATTGATGAAACCTGTGAAAGAAAATATGACAAAACTTGCGAAAACGTCATATGTCAGCGAGCAACAGAAAAAAAACAACATTCCCCCTTGTGGCATCTGTCTTTCATGGCTTCATTTTTTGGGCAGATATGGCAATGTGCGCGCATTCCAGTTTTTGGCTATAGTTCATTGCGTAAAATAGACGGCAGGCAATCCGAATCAGCTGATAAATCAAGATAGCGACGTGGGCATAACACAAGGATAATGCACACTACTGAGGATTGCTTATTGGCCTCGTTTTTGGTAATCGCCGCCATATTGGGGTGTGGGGTTTTGATTAACATAATAGGCAAAGAGAAAGATGCGAACGAGATCTAAAACGGAGTTGTTTTAAGAATGTTAAATAATGTAGTAAAACCAAGTATGCGTAAAGAAAAAGCCCGCGGAATCATAACCTGTGGCGCAAACAGCCTACGTCAAGGAGAGAAACGACATGCTGCCTACGTCCAACTGGTGATTTGGCATGGTGGGGGGCTTGAGATTTGTTTTACACAGGCCTTATGAGGATAAGCTATCCCATAGTAGTAGTGTGTATTATCCTTGAGCATAACAAACTTGACGACCCCGAAGGTGCACATTCAATTCCACTTGATTCGATTGCAATTTGAATGGAAAATGAATGTAAACGTAAGGTTGTCAGGTGTGTTATTAACGTCAAATCACCCTAGTTTAATATTTTCAAATTTTGCAAAAGATTTATACCATACTGAAAGAAATCCTCATGGACATTAAACTACCAGTACTTGAATTAAGGATCCCACACACTGTTTCCGTTTACGTCCGTTTACCGCTGCGGACATATCGCTGCCGCTACCGCCATATCCCGCCTGTGGGTAGGATCCTTTAGCCTATACGCGGTCATATCTCTACCGCTAACGCCATATCGCACCGGTATGTGGGATCCTTTAGCCTGTACTCGGACATATCGTTACCGCTACCGCCATCCTTTAAGCTGCGCGTCCTTTTTGGTAAGTACATTTGACATTCTATGCATTTGACTCTCGGAGCTTCTCCCTCCCGTGAAGAACACGGAGCACTTGGTTTTAAACCAAGCGCTCTTTTTGGGAGTTACTCCGAAGGAATGGCTCCGAAGCTTGTGACAAGCCCGGTGTTCATCATTAGCCGCTTTCCAGCTGTGTGCTTCAAGCACGGTCCAGCACAGTGTTCTGTGTTTGAAACGCAAAAATTAGCAGCTCTCGAAGCGCAGTACGGCGGGAACACGAACACGCGCTTGAAGCATTTGCGCGCGCAAAAGCTCGATTGCGTGCTCAAAAGCGTCAGCTGGAAAGCGGCTTTAGACGGGTGCTTGGCTCAACCTCCGATTTATGACAGTTGTGAGCATCGTTCTGTGCTGTTTGGAAACGTAAATAAGTCGTACTTGAGCTAAGACGCAACCTTGAGCATCGACTATGATTACGGGCCAGGCCGTGTTCGTTTTTGTCATCTTTTTCATCGATATGTTCCAAAATTTTGACAGACACGTGACTGGATCAGACAGTTTCAATTTACAAATCGCGTGCCTGTCAAAATTTCGGAACATATCGATGAAAAAGATGAAAAAACACGAACATGACTTTAAAAAAAATGAACCCAACTCTGGGCTGCATTCACGCGCGATAGACGTTTCAATACGCCCATTAAATTACTCCTCGACTGCGAATAGTCTTTGGGTGGTACCAACCAATGAACTGTTCCATTCCGTCAAAAAAAAACGTCCTAAGAACGGTTTCGGAACCACTCTGTATACGAATTCTGACGGTCTACGGTTACCTGCTGGGCTGGAACAAAGCTTTTATATTTTTTCGAACGAAAGACGTGACATGTAACAATAGATAAATAAAAGTAACCAAAAAGACATATTTGGTGTTGGTTTATTGAACTGAAAAATATACCTAATAAAACGGAAATACAAAACATATGGACGACGTTCGAGATCTAGCATGCCAAAGAAAAAAAGAGAGTATGTTAGCCCTCCCTTAATAGTTCGCACCAATAACCAATAACCCCTGTTTCGAACGCGTCGATCGTACGTATGTCTGTCAGTCAGTCCCTACTCCAAACAAGAATTTTCGCACCCAGCAATGAATTTTCGCACCCAGCAATCTATTTTCGAACGCGCCACTTCTAGACGAACTTTTTTTTCTTTTTTGTTTAGAATTATTTATTATTTCCGTTCCGCCGACCTCGGGTCCTTCCAGTTCCCCAATCCCAGACGATATGAAAATACACAATTACACATACAGAGTCGTCGTGCACGCATCTATAATTATAAATAAAACTTGAAATATCTTTAGTCTAATCTGACAACACTGTAAATAATGAAAAGAGACCCTGCCCATCGCCCAATGCCGGATTCCATTCTTTAAAATTAAAACGAGAAAGGTGTTGATTTCTACCTCTTCTTCTCCCATTTTTATTTTTAGTTCAATTATACATTTCAGCACACGGTGCCTTCTTCAGACGAAAGTCTAGTATTTTCGTTCCTATAAAGAACATACTGGCCTTAATTCGGATTCGCAAATGGATAAAAATATGATAATTTTGACACTAAACTAAACAAGATTAAAAAAGGCAATATTACACTTCCACTGAAACAGTAACAAAGATTCAATCTATTTCAATGTAAGGAGGAACGAAAGATGATTTTAAAATAAAATGGGATATTTTTCAATACAAAAAAAGCAACGTAATTGCATTATTTTAATAAGAAAAGTAACGGTGCTTACATAAGTTGTTTATGTTGTGGTGAGGTTTTCATGATTTGAATATGGCGGCAGTATTTTGACGTTTTAATGTTTTGAACAGTTGGTATCAACGCGTGTGGACAGTTTGGCATTTCGTGATGTGAGAATTTTTCATACAAGTTTTTTATTATGGTATTTATAGTAATAGTAAGTGTAAAAAGTGCTAGTTTAGTGCAGTACTTATGGCAGTGGGATCTTCTATATTCGAGTTGTAATCGAAATGATTAAAGAAAAACACGAAAAAGGCTCAGATAGCGTGAAAGAAGATACTGTAAGCGCCAATAAGGAGCCAACCAACACAGACACAGTACAAATAAAAAAGGAAGAAGATGTGGCGACCAAGAAAGAGCCCTCAACAGGGCCAGTTACTAAGAATGGAGGTCTGGTGGGTTCCACTAACACAGGCTCTCTTCAAGCAACTACTGATTTTAAAACAGAAGCACCTAATGAAGACCCTGTCACTACAGCAGTGCCAGAGGCAACTACACTGCCCCTTAAACAAGAAGATAATATAGTAGATAATGATCCTCTAGGAGATCCATTCGGTTTGGGTTTAGGGCCCCCTGGTCCTACAACTGGTAGTCATGGTCCTCAAACACAACCGGAAAGTGTACAGCCCTTAGGAAGTAATGTGATAAATAAACAATCTAGTTCCATGGAAGTGCAGTATATGCAACAACAAAGTCAAATATTTGTGTTTTCCACAGTGCTAGCAAATTCGGGTGCAGATGAAGTGTTGCAGGGTCGATATCCTTCCATTATAGCATACCATTGTGCCCAACCAGGAACTAAAAAGTACCTTGAAAAAAATCCTTTAAAAGTTACTCAGTTTAATAGACAACATCCAGTGCAGTGGTTAAATAACTTTGCTATGATGAAAAACAAAGGCTGTACTAGAAGTCCTGGTTTAGGACCCAAACCATCTCCCAGTATAGATTCTTTCTTAGGACCTGAAGGGCTGGATGATATGGTAGGGCTTGGTGATTCGGATGCACCTTGGGACCAGAAAAGCAATCATCAACTAGAAAATTTGGAAGGGACAGTACAGAATGGTTTGCCTGATATGGGAGCAGACATGGATTCATGCAGCCCATCTTTATTAAATGTTCAGCCCAAATTGCAGGGTGTACAAGTGCCTGATGAAAATCTAACCCCTCAGCAGCGACAGCACAGGGAAGAACGATTAGCTAGCATTCGTAAAATGCATCAGCTGTTATTCCCTGAAAGTCAAGGTTTGTTTATTTTTCTATTAACTATTTCACTTATACCAAATAACAATACTTGTTTAGGGTATATACTAAATAACAATATTTGTTTAGGGTATCTAGGTATACGTTTCCTTTAACAAAGAGCTATCTTTTCAACAACACAAGTTTTGAGCTTTTTGGTCATTTGAACTGTCTTTTGTTAATGAGATTGAAAAAAACAAGACAACTTTCTGATTTGAATGTCACTGTTTAGCAAAATTTGTTTGCATCTTAAGAACAAAGAAATAAAGGTAGCCCCTCGGGTAGCCCTGATTCAAAATTGGCTTAATAGCAGGTACATTTTTGGGTTGAATAACATTGTTCATTAATACCTATGTAGAAAAGGAAGGTAAACCTGTTATGAAATAATTAGTACCTAAATAATACTTCGGTACAATTTAAAAATACATGGGTACCTACTTATATTATAAATAATACCATTGAAAACCAGGTAGGTTATTTCCTTGGTCACCTCAATACCTATCTAAAAAGGTACCTCATGAAAAAAGAAACCAATTAGCTAGGTAGGAGTAAAAACAGAAATGGGGAAACCGAGGGGAAAACCACATCAAGATAAGTGTGAATTATGACTTTCACAGAAAGAAATCCATATTGAAGAAACTACATACCCCTTGCTACCTATAATAATTAGTAAACCATTCATTATTACCTGAAGTATTACCTATTATTTTTATATTAAATTTAACTGGAAATTTAGGGTTAAAGTTGACCAAGAACTTGCCATTTTTTTGATATGATTTGATGCAAGCTAAAAATGCCTAATAATAAATATATTTTGGTGACTTTCTGTAGGGTCACTTTCAACAAGCTTTTGATAAGTAATCCTTGAAGTTATCATATTTAATATTAGATTATTAGACAGCTACTAACGGTGAGTTTTATTTATTTTTTATTCCTTTTTCCTCTATGCTTAGAAAAGTAGCATTTTTGTCCATAAACCCTAGCCTGTATATTTTTACTTTTTTATATTGTTTATTTAATATTTTGCAAATTTTGTATACCCACTTGGACAGTAAAATCCGAGGTAGAATCTAAATTGGGCAAAAAACTAGGAAATTAGTTTTTTTTTTTTGTAGATAACCTCATGTTTTTTTTTCAGGAATATTTAATCGATTTCCAATTCATCGGTCAGTAGGAGTAGGTGTTGACTAACTTATAGAAAACATTATAGAATTTTAACTTTTCAAGAACAGTAGCAACATGTTCCAGGTGGGAACCTTTATTTCAAATAGCATTCCGTGTCTCTTTGAAATAGTTTTTTTTTACTCGTTTTTTTACACTTTAAATACTAATTCACCTCAATAAACCGAGCAATAAACTATTTTTCTTGAATTTGGGAGGTTCTATTTCTATTATATTTTACAATAACTAGGTACTATACAGAGTGTACGAAAGGTAACGGGACGGTCCATTATCTCTGAAACCAGTGGTGCAATTTAAACAAAATCTCATATTTAGACTTCACTTGAAAAGCTGAATTCAAAAATTGTATCGACGCTGTTGCCAGATTTACCAATTTGTCTGTAGGCACACAATCTTTCTTAAGTAAAATGTAATACATCACATATTTTTATCTCAATCGATTGGTCTTGTTTTATTTACTGAAATCGGAATGGCAGGTGAGTGTAATCAATAGTAGGACAAGAGCAATCCATGGAGGTTGAAATAAGTGGAGTGTTTCATTTAAAATAAAGAAGATTGTGTGCCTTCAGAAAAATTGGTAAAATTGGCAACGTCGATGCGATTTTTGAATTGGGCTTGTCAAGTAACGTTCAGGTACCATAGTTTGTTCAAATTGCACCAGTGGTTTCAGAGATAATTGACCGTCCCGTTACTTTTCATACACTATGTATAGAGCAAGATATAGAGGCAGTAGAATTTTTCTAGCACTTTTTGTACTGGAAGGAGGCCTTACATCAGACTTCCAATGTAAATTTGAGGCTTATTAATAAAATAACTACCTACGTATCCTCTTCCTGTACACTGTGTTTGGAACAAATATTTGTTCAAGTTCCATTTAAGTAGGTAATGTTGTAAGTAAATGAGAGAATGTGAACTCTTGTGAAAAGAAAAGAGTTATTAAAATAGACATACAGGGTGTCCCAAAAAGATACCGACAAACTTTAAGGGGTAGTTAGGGACATCAAAACAAGCATTTTTGTTTATATAAACATATGTCCGCAAATGAGCCATTTGGGCTGTAGAGCAAAAAAACTGTTTGGTACTTTTATTCTTCCCAATAATTAAATCACTGTTTACTTATTAATTTTGTTCTATTAACCAATAAATTATGGTTTACAATAATTGTTCAGAATTGAACAATGATCAATCAACAATCATTGACTCGCGAACCCTTTGGAATATTCCGGGAATAGCTTCTACATGAGTACAACTTTCCAGTATCCTTGCTAACAGATCTTCCTCATTACGAACACGTGTTTCGTAGACTAAACTTTTCAGTCAATGAACTGACGGTGCAATCTTTGCATTGAAGTAAATGGTCAACATTTTGAAAAATTATTTTAGACCATAATTTTTTTGTTACTAGAGCAAAATTAATAGGTAAACAGTGATTTAATTATCGCGAATAGTACCAAACAGTTTTTTTTGCTCTACAGCCCAAATGGCTCATTTGCGGACATATGTTTATATAAACAAAAATGCTTGTTTTGATGTCCCCTACTACCCCTCAAAGTTTGTCGGTATCTTTTTGGGACACCCTGTATATTTTACGTATTTTATTTTACAAATTACATATAAGTAGGTATTATGTTTCACCTTGCCTTTTACCATTTTTTTTATTTTTTAATTCACTCTAAACCGAGCTCTAAACTCTCTCAATTCAAAATTATGTCCTGAGCATGCATCTTATGTGCTGCGCTGCAATCTCACTTTGTTTAAGCCTTATTACATTACCTGTTACCAGTGAGCACTGCTTAAAGCATTAATCAAATGTAATATTGCAGATTGTAAATTTTGTTTGCATAAAAAAATTGAAAGCCCAAATAGTTGATATTTTGTTGAAATAATTCGTCAATATACAGGGGAATTCAATTAACTCCAAAACGTGCTGAGATTTTTCCTCGGATTTTTCCAACTATTTCTCAAAGTGCAAGTCAATGTTAAATTGCATTTTGAGAGGTAGGTATGTGGAAGAAACTAATTTCTATTAGTTGCAGCATTTTCATTTGGGCACTCCGCAGAATAAAGTTAAAGATATTGGCTCATTCGATCAGTAGTACCTAGGTACAGTGGGAATCATTGCAATTGGCACATACTATACCCTTTTAACATCCCTCGTGCTAAGTCAGAATTCTAACCAATAATTCTATTTAGTGCAGCGGTATACAAATACAGTACCTACTCGCCAAATAAACAGTACCATATATACAAATTATATCATTTAATAATTTGTAATATGTTCAAAATGTGCATCATAGCGACGCAAAAAAGCTTCATAACGATTCTGCAAATCATTGAACATATTTATTGAGAGTGGTTGCTGAAATTTTTTTCAGACTTGTTTCAAACTTTATTCCTTCCAACTCCGTATGACCGGAAATAGTGCTCTACTAAGAAAACTGTTTCTTCAGTTGAAAAATACATAATGACGAAGATTTTAACCTTGACTTAATGTCAACCTGATAACTAATGCCAAGTAAGCGAAATATGATAAATGCAATTTGCATGCGCAATTTATCAGAGCTCTAGATTCTGGCACTGTTTATTTTGGCGGATACCATTTTTTTTTTCCTTTAACGGTTTATTAAAAATTTTATGTTCACCACTGATTTATCAATCTGACCCGATTTTGACATTACCTCCGTGTCAAAAAAGTAAAGTTTTGACACTTATGGGGGATGTTTTTATAGTGGGTGCCAATTGCAATGATTCTCACTGTACCATCTTATTGAACTCAGTATTTTTTTCCTAATTCTCGCTGAGTAACAATTGTTGGCTTTCGGCAGTTTTTCGCTAACCTTCATGGTATGCCTGCTGAGGGACTTTTTTTGGAGTATCAGATTAAAATTGACGGACTTTATGTAATGAATAGAGATATTTTTTCTATCCCTATGATGTCCCTTCTCTAATGATTTCGAAAAGAGAGAAGAAGACAGCAAGTGCCATACAGATAGAAATAACGATCTCTATCCGTCACATACCCCCAGCTGTGCAATTTTAATCAAATGTTTTTCAAAGTTATCAAATCAAATCAAATCATTTATTGGTGCATTACTTCACAAAGTTTACACAAGTCAAATATATAGTAGTGGCAATTTTCAGGAACCTTTACGAACAATATTACTAACAATCCTCTAAATCATTAAAATTATTGGTGGTATATTCCTCTATACTAAAAAAAGCTTTCTTAATTAAATGATTTTTAATTTTATTTTTGAAACAATTCAAATTTAGCATTCTAATGGAGGTTGGTAACACATTATAGAATTTGGGGCCATAGAAGGAAATTCCTGTTTTTATTTTATGTATTCTATGAAAGTTTGTATAGAGGTTGTCCCTATTCCTGGTGAGATGTTGGTGTATGTCCTCATGGGTCTGGTAATCATTGACATTACACCTAACATGAATCAGACAATGATAGACATATAAGGAAGGCACTGTTAATACCTTTGATTTCACAAAGTCATTCCTACACTCCGCTCGATAAGTTCTATGACACAATATTCGAATCGCCCTCCTCTGAAGTGCAAAGACTCTTTGCGCTTCTGCTGCATGTCCCCAGACCAGAATTCCATATGATATTTTTGACTGGACACAAGCAAAAAAGATGGCCCGTGCTGCTTGCTCGGAAACACTCTCCATCATTGTTCTGAGTGCATAGACTCCTGACGCCACTTTGGCACATATGTTATTGACATGTGGAATCCATGTCAACTTTGTGTCAATACTCACCCCCAGGAACGTAACTGGCTCATTATGTAGCAATTCAAATTCCCTCGTGGATATTACTAGGGTGCTATTTTTTGATTCATTCATACTCAATTTATTCGCTGAGAACCAATCAGTAACCCTCAACTGTGTCTCCTCTAGACTCCGTCTGAGTGTTTCAAAATTCCTGGCCCTTCTAATCAGAGTCGTATCATCAGCGAACAATATCAGGTCAGAACTGGGATCACACCCCTCCAAATCATTTATGTAGATCAGGAAGAGCAGTGGTTCCCAGCACTGACCCTTGAGGAACACCATATTCTAGTTCGATAGAGGATGAGCTTTTATCCGCAACGCTTACTACTTGCGACCTTCCTGTAAGATACGACTCTAATAAGCCTATACTTTCAGGTGCAAATCTGTATTGTAGCAATTTTATCAGAAGGAGATCAGAGGAGACACAGTCGAAGGCTTTGCTTAAATCACAGAACAGAGCCCCACTATATTCCCCATTTTCAATCCCCTCATTAACCCTTTCTATGAACAAATTGATAGGACTAGTAGTAGACTTCCCACTCCTGAAGCCAAACTGCTTAGAACTAAATAAATTCTGACTCTCAAAATAATTTGTTATTCTATTTTTGAGTGCCTTTTCGAAAATCTTGGAGAAAACTGGGACAATTGATATAGGACGGTAATTACTCAAATCTTCCATTTCACCTTTTTTATATATTGGCACAACCCTGGAGATTTTTAGAACTGATGGAAAGACTGCATCTCTTATACACAAATTTAACAGCTTCGTAAGAGGATAGATAATAATATTAACAAGTGATTTTATTATTTTAGAGTTCATTCCATAAATATCCTTGCTTTTTTTGTTTTTTAATTGTTTTACTATGTCTCTAACTTCATTAATTGATATGGGAGTGAAATTGAAAACTGTGTCGTATATACCAATTTTTTTGATAAAATTGTTTACATAATATTGTGGAGTATTTATAGCTGTAGGTAAGTTACTAACAATTTGGGCTGCTATATTAGCAAAATAAAGATTATAGTCATTTGGAGTTAGCCATGGTAATGTTCAAAAAAGTCAGAAACATGTTTTTTTTTTAAGTAGGTACTTCATAAAAAAATTGGATAAGTAAGTAATTATTTACTATAAGCCGAGTTATAAGCCCTTCACCTAATGAGAGTTTTTTTTTTGTAATTCTGATTACTTATATTATTAGAAACTGAATAAGAGTTTTTGATGAAAAATATCCAAATTAAAAAAAAATAAATATTATGTATGTACTTTAGGTATAATTCAAATTTTTTGAAGGTGATTCTCTAGTAAATACCAATTGGTCTTTATATTATTATAGAAATTGAATGGTTGAAACTCTATAGATCCTGTACTCAGTCTTTGATACAAATCGATGAATAAAATCTATTTTTATCAGCTTAATATCCCTATATTATTGCTTGCTGTAAGAAACAATAGGTAGTAAAATTAAAATTACCACAAAAAGTCGTCATACATTTAAAATATAATTTTTCATGCATTTATGAGTCACAAATAGTTAATTAAATGAAAAAAGCAAATATCTGAATGAGCCCTTGTAAATAATCACCAAAAAGGTACGGAATTTATTTTGCTGAGCCCTTTAGGCACTCCACTGTAATTTTGGAAAATTAACTATTTAGAATTATTTCTTTGGTAATCAACTCGGTAATCAACCATTATGTGCTTGTGCCAACAGTAGTGATAATTTTGAATAGATTTTGGTGGTCGTTTCTTTGTCAAAAAATCTGATCTTTTCCACAATAATATTAAATATTTGTTAATTTTTTAGGTGAGGGTGGTGCAGGTCCTCCAGATGGAATTCAGGGCATATCACCTGGGGGCGCTACGCCGATGGGAGCAGGGTCTGGACCTGGCGTCGCGCCCCCTAACCAGCCGCCAGTTACACCTCAGATGGAGTGGCAAAAATTACAAAATCAGTTCTTCGATGATCGAACAAAAGTTAAGACTCAGCCTCAAGCTGGAAATAATCCTAGCTGTGGCGCTATAGTTCCTGTTGGGCCCGTCAGCGGCACTGGTCCACAACCTCCTTCATCTGTAGCAGCTTCCCAAAATGCTCGAGGTGGTCCAGGCCTTGGACCACGATTGCAAGGTCCGCCACCACCATATCATCAAACACAGCGATCTGCCAGTGTTCCTATAGCTCTACAAAGTCCAAATCCCACGTCGCCAAACAATCCCACCTCAAATTTGTCGCTGCCTTCTCCGAGAGCCTCATCAGCCCTCAATTCGCCTGCAGATCCGAATAGACCATTTGGAAATTTGACAAGGCATATGAGCACTGGACAAAGTCCCACCTCACAGGACTCACCGACAGCACCACGTTTACATCACAGTAACCCCAGTACGCCTCTCTCATCCCATTTATCACCTAGTGTAACGAGTAGTAATACAGAACCTTCATCAACACATCAATCTACTGGTAAGTGTTTTTTTTTTAATGTATGTTTTCTTCTTGGTTTTGTCATGTCTTTTGTTATGTCACAGAGATAAGTCTGCTGTTATATGACTGTTGTTTATATAATGGCCTCTTCAGAACCCTAGGAGTTCCACAACAATAAAATTGAGTCTCAACAAAAAAATAAGGTGCTTTTCAAACGGTTCTCAATTATCTTAAAGAAAAATGTTGAAAACTTAATATTAATAAATGAAATAAAATAACCAAGAAAATAATCTAGGTTTTAAAAAATATGTAATTCTTTTTTTATAACATCAAGAGGCAACTAGCTAGGTTTCCATGCAAAATATAGGAATCAAGGGCCATTTAAATGCTTCTTTATTATCTATGGAAAAACTTAGATACACCATATACATGAGGTACTTAGCTACACATACACATTTGAAAACATTTTTTTCAATTTCTGGATTGTTGGGCTTGAGTTTTATACTGGAGGGGAAAAACTACTGCCAGTAGGTAAAATATTGTCCAATGGGAATTAAGTGTTCTTTGAAGACTTTGCTATAAGCCATAGAAAAAGTTAAGGCGGAATCCAAATTTATTCAATTAGGTGTAAGGAATAGAATCCGGCTCCAAATCTCGGAATAATTTAGTGTGTGGAGTTCGGGGGATCCCGAAGGACCATTAGGACTTAAAATCTCAACAAAAAAAAATTTGAAATTTTATCGTCCATTAGAAAGAACATCACCAAGTTGACTGCACTCTTAGGGCCGGTTTATTCACCTGATAAACTGTCAGGTATGCAATTTGACAAAAAAAAACGCAATTGGTAATCCTATTGGTCGGTCAGTTATCCGCCAACCAATAGAATTATAGAACCGTAAATTTATCTTGCAGATACTTACCAGCAAGTTAATCTGAAGATGAATAAACTGGGTCTAAGTCCAACAGGAAGTGTCTGTTAAGTAACGTCCACAAAAAGTGTGCTTTATCCAAGCTAAGTAAATGATCATTTCAGTTTATCAAACTAAGGCCCTGTTTATTCATTATCAGATAAATTTGCTAGTAACTCTGCAAGATAAATTTACCATTCTATATTGGGTCGGCGGATAACTGGCCCACCAATGGGATTGCGGATTGCGTTTTTATCCGTCAGATTGCGTACCTGACAATTTATCAGAAGGTGAATAAACCGGAAGAGAATGAAATAATGAGGAATTATTAAAATCTTCGAAAATTATTTCTTCACAATATTTAGAGCTTAGGAAAATAGGTTAGCAATAATTACAATAAAATAATGCGTACAATAAAGTTTGTAAAGGGGGCACATGAATCAACACTTTTCATATTTTGTAGATGAAATCGTCTTGATCTAGCGGTGCAAGCAATATGAGAAAGTTAAATAAACTACTATTAAATGTATGGACTATATTGTCAACTACTATCCATTACCAGCAGGTTAAGGGTAGTGCGAAGTACCTCAATAGGGTACTTGCAAGAAAAATTAAATTGATTATTTATTGCAAACTGTAGGAAATCGAAAAAAAATCGATACATATTTTTTTATTTTGCCCAAATATGATTATTCCGGAAGTTATACAAATATTAAGTTTTGTATATATAGATATACTGAGCATGTGCGACGTCACTAATTTATATGATAAGTGACGTCATAGGCATATTTCATAGCGTTGTATCTCCGTCAATTTTTGACTAAGAAGAAAAAGAAAAAAACACGTGTTGACTTATTTTTTATCGATTAACGAAATCAGCGATAATTAAAATTGATGCAAGTACCCCATTGGGAAAAGCCCCAGCTAAGTCTCCTCCCAGTGCAAACTACGTTTATTGAGAAACGCTTTTCTGGACTTGTCTCAAACCCAGCTTCAGTCTTCAGTCACGCCAAGTGTACAGAGTGTATGCATGTACATCTACAGTCTACAGAGTGGCCTAAGTGGTACGTCCCTCCATATCCATATCTTATTGTACCTAAACCACGCGAGTTTCTCTCTACCTGAACCCCACCTACGCCCCCAGGTCACGCTCCTGGGTTCCGTTTAGAAATAGCACTCTGGGTGTGAGAGTGACCCTAGAGGAACTCTAAACCGTTCATAAATTAACAGGTGCTTACTCGGAGCGTTACGCTGAAATCGTTCAGAAATCGAGTGTTGACGTGCCCAGAGTGCGCCCAAATTACCCCACTCAGGGACTGGGTTGAAAAACGCCCCGAGGGTTTTTTACCGAGTTTGATGTTGACATTTAGCGCAACACCCCAATTACGTTCAGAAAAGGCGCACCCAGAGTGCACTCCAAGTGATGACGTCAGAACACTCTGACAAACAACTACTCCACCTTCACACTCCATTTATAAACGCACTCCTGTTGTGGTGACGTCCTAGGACGAAACATAGGGGTTGTGACAATATGCCACACTAATGCCTGTTTTATTTGTCTTCTGATAAACTTGTTGGTAATTATCTGCAAGATAAATATAACGTTCTATAATTCCATTGGTCAGCGGATAACTGGCAGACCAATGGGATAACAAATTGCCTTTTTATCCGTCAGATTGCGTACCTGATAGATTATCGGAAGGAAAATAAACCAGCCCTAACACTCACTGTGACATTGAAGGCACATATTATAAATGTTGCCCTGTCCAGTAAACAGTTACTACATTGACACTCCAGTCCCAGTATATGGGGACCTATTTAGGTTTTCCTATGGCTTGTAAGAAAGCACTTAAATATGAGAAGATTTACACAGGGCGTCCTATGCAAAAAATATTGCTAAACCCAGAGTACTGTATGTGAGAAAAGTATACCGAATGTATTTACTGTATAAAAAAATCTCCAGAAACACCAACTTTTTTGGTAGAATTCCTCCATATTTGATCGAGTGGTCTCGTAAAGTGGGTTATAAAGTACTGATTTTGCATCATCTTACATTTGCGTCTACCATCTTGTTTACAGCAAATAAAAATGAGAAATAAAGATTGCGGGAATTACAAAATAAGGCCACGCGAATAATTTCGCGTTTATCTAGGGACACATCAATTTGAAACATGCTTCGCTCATCAAGTTGGCTGCCATTGGCAGTATTTGGAATACCACACTATCACTTCATACATAAAATGAAAAATTGTTTAGCTCCGTCGTATTTGTCCGTTAAACTTGTATATAATAGCAGCGTCCACAATTATAATACGCAGTCAGCAGTCACAGAGTAATTTCCATGTTACCAAAGAAAATAAAGATTCTACGGAAAGGGCACTATTTCGTAATGATTTAGTCTTGTATAATTAATCACCTGATTCAATAAGAAGATGCGTTACTATAACCACATTTGAAAATAACCTGAAAAAAAAAAACTATTTGACGAATCTCATTGGGTAGATAATGAGTGAACAAGTAAAATTTGTTTTTTTTTTCATTTATAGATTGGTAGTGAATATCTGTGCATGTTGTGTAAACTTTGTAAATTAACTGGTTTTGCTAAATGAAGATGTATCATTATTATTATTATTAGCATTGGATGACTCTTGATGACTTTAGAGCATACATTTTTCTAAAATTCAAATATATTGCATATTGGCAAATCTTTTCCAGATATTATTTTTTTTTTACTATTGAGTGTGGTACACTACAGAGTTATTCTCCAAACGAAGAATAAAATTGAAAAGTTGTACATAAATCAAAAATAAAATTAAACCTAAAACTAAGTCAATGTTAAAATACATACAAGCTAACACAAACAACAAGAACAATGTCAAAAATCATAAAACATGAAGAACAGTTGAATTAAAAATAAATTGAATGTCTACAACAAACGCTTCAGCATGTAGAGACTAGATATGAGAGGGTAGGATTTTTTTTGTTAGGCCCGACGTCAATTCTGAGAAATAATAATTACAACAAAGGTACCACCTGATTTATAAAGCTCTGAGGTGCCCAAATTTGAGAAGCCTAAGTACTTATGCAATGGAACATCTAAGTTTAAATAGTCAAATTGTTTACACACTATAACGATGCTAATGCTGAAAATATTTTCCATAGTTATTGCATTGTCGATAAAAATTAAATCACTTTCTTTTGAGTTTCTCAAATGATCTTTAGTCAAGTATTTTGTCCATTTCTGTTTTGATATTTACCATTTTTATAAGAAGGGATTTAATTTTTTCACAATACTTCTGTGATTTTCTGTAACATTTTGTCAATAAGAATTATATTGTTTTAGTTGATGGTATGTTTGGCAGAACACTTCAATCAGTGGCACAACAAAAACAGATGAGTACATCAACGACGGCATCATGTCAAACACTTACAGCAACAGGTATCAGCAAAGAGCCTAACTTAATGCCAGTTCCATCACCTCAACAGATCCAATACCTTAATGCATTTGAAGGCCAGGAATTGATCATTCAAAAGCAGCCAAACACTAGTCTTAAAGATGGCAATATTATATCTCCACCGTAAGTATAGTAGCGGCCATAGATATTCGAGATTCATGGAAAAAAGTATGTTCCTTCATTTAGTCAGAAGGCACGGGTCAGGTAACCGCTTTTAAGTACAAGATTATATTGGTTTCACATTATTCGGTTTAGATTGTTGTAAATAATGTTTCAAATTATTTTTCAATTTTCTTGAAAGATCTTTCAAATATTTAATGCAAGAAATTAGGAACTTAATCCAGAACAATACAATAATACTATACGCAAAATGAATTTAATTGATGGTCGTGGACTAAATTGATTCTCAACCCTCATCTGTAGAGTTTTTGCTTTACCCCAGGGAATCGCCGACAAAGAAATAATTTTTTGTAGGAATCTCGAATATCTATGGTGGCTACATTACCTATATATAACAACATGTATTCTGAATGATTAAATATTTTTTACACCAGCACTAGCTTTAGTAGTAACCAAGGGAGAGTTGCAAAAGTTGTATGTATTTATTCCAGTATTTGTTGACAAAAAAATCATTACCCTTATAGGATTATATATCCTTTACTCTTTTATGTTTGTACACAATAGCAGGGATAATTTTGAGGGTGAAACAATCAATCAGGTGTACTAAGCTAGAAATAAGTCAAATTAGTTAACACAAAAATGTCATTTTAGCTATATGTAGACAGTTTAAATCTACAACTACAACAGTTTCTGGTCACTTTCCATACTGAACTCTAACTAGAAGCGTTTAAATACTTTCTGATTGAAACAACACTGTTTTTTGGGATTCAATTACACTATTTCAACAAATTTTTAATATCTTTGAACGTCTAGAACGAGCACATCCAGCAGGGTTGCCACAAAACAGGATACTGCCTCAGAATATAAAATAAAAATAACGCAACAACGAAAAAACATAGTTGGATTGTTTTCAATGTGCTATTTTCTATATGGAATTCCATTTTATTTTCATGGTGACTTTGAATCTATTTTTGTTATTTAAGGGTTGGCAAAAAATTGGAAATTGATAAAGGAATAAAATAAGTGGGGTTTGGAAGTAAATCTAACTAAAACAGAATATATGACTATAGGAGGTGAACAACGAACTCTGAAATTGAATAACGGACAAGAAGTAAAACAATGTACTGGATACAAATATTTCAGAATGAAAACCTTGCATGAGGGAACTCTAGACAAAGCAATCAAAGATCAAACAAAATATACAAGGACGCGAGGCAATATCTCTATTAAATGGAGTACTGTGTAAAGCATAGTCACATATTTCATAGTCTGGCCACTAAAGAACAAAAATGCTGGAAGCAACTGAAATTGACTTTTGCAGGAGAGCGACAGGCAGGTCAAAAATGGAAGGGATAGCAAATCTGAGAATTAGGAAAATTGTGGATGTGTGACACACAATAGTAGATGTTATAAGACACAAACAACTGATTTAGTTCGGACATGTGCAAAGAAGAACAGATTCAAGAAAACCCAAACAAATTATTGAGTGGAAGCCAGGGGGAAGAAAAAGATGTGGCAGAACAAGAAGAAGCTGGAGAACTGGAGTAAACAAGGCAATGAGACACAGAGGCTTAGAGGAGGATGCCTGGATTGACAGATATGGTTGGTCCGGAATCGGAAGATGTAGAACGTTATAAACTGATAATTATATATATGTATATAAAAATAGGATACTGCCTTGCAATATAAGGTACCTATAAAAATAACGCAATAATGAAAAAAACATATGTAGGTGAATTGTTTTCAATGTGCCATTCTCTATATCGCACTTCATTCTAAACCTTATATAAATAATTAGGTCCCAAACTCAATACTTATTTAGATTTTTCAATTTTTCAGTGTCTTATCTACAAGCTTAGATAGCGGTTTTCCCGGTAACACACCAGATCTTCCACATACAAGAGTGTCAGGGCCCAATACCCCCACGTCCATGGACACTCGCTTTCCACCAACGCCCGGAGTTCCTTCTGAAGGTTGTAGGTTTCAAATACCCTCGCCGCATACACCTACCGCCACGTCCTGTGGTAAGTTTTATTAGATCAGCTTAAATAATAATCAACTATAAAAAAAAACAATTCAATGTAGTAAAATAGTTACAATAAACTTGTTAATACAGTCTTGAATGCCATACATTATTGTTAGGGTGCTAGTTGAAACCAAGTGATCTTGCCTTGTATCCCTTTGTGAGTGACATATTTTTATCAATTTAATTATTTAAAATTTTAAGCAAAATCCAAGAATCAAATATGTATAAATTTCAGACACCAAGTTGTAGTACTTGAAAGTTTAGTACCTACCCTTTTTGTCTTACAACACTTGGTTTGAATTATTGGTTTAGCAACTCCCTAGTACTCTGTAATGTGCAACCAATAAAAATGTGCCCACATTTAAAATGATCAATATTAAAATAAGTCCAGTTTTCATGAAAATCTAGATTTAACGCTCATTATCGTTTTGTTCCTTCTAATGATTGTTTTTATCTAACCAGTTTTTGTTATTTTTAGGTGAAAAACAATCACAAAGAATGTCAGGGCCCACAACTGTGACTCCTGGAATGAGCCCCCAAGCAGTTCCAGGTCCTAACTCAGATCCATTGAAAAATGATCTGTTTCCAACTCCTAGTCCACATATGATGGACACGCCAAGGTTTCCAGGACCCAACTCATCTCCCGGATCTCAAGTAAAAATGGGTGGTGCTTTTGGTGTTACAGTTTCCCCACAAGGTAAACCTTCGCCGTTAGATTTGCCAGGTTACTCTTGTGGGGGTGGCCGGAATGATAACATACCTTTAAATCCAAATTGTACCAGTTCGATGGTCGGGAATCCCAAGCAATCACATTTTGATCCCATTTCATCACTAGCACAAATGAGCCAGCAACTGACAAATAGTGTAGCAAGTAGTCTTAATGGTCAACCAGGGCAAGGACCGCCTATGATGAGCTTTGGATCAACATCTATGCATATGATGGACATGGGAAGTTGTCATGGAGGAATGGGTGATATGGTGGATAGTGGCATGATGGGAATGAATCATATGCAAGGCCCGCCTCATGGTTTTCATCCTGGTTCGCCGATGGGTCACATGAGATCACATTCGCCAAAACTACCAGGTTCTTTCCCAAACCATATGCCAATGCAGAGAATGATGGGTCGAGTTCCAGGACCTGGTCCTAGCCCATTCAACGGTGCCAATGTTCAAGTGAAGCCTAATGCCCCAAATACTATACAGTACCTGCCTGCTAAAGGGCAAGGTGGTGCAGCACCGGCTGGTTCCCGAGGGCCTCCTAGTTTAGACTTTCTTACAAGACTAGCATCACCCATAAATATGATGGATGGTTCAAAAATGCAGCCAGGTCCAGGACAGTACTTCCAAAGTTGTGGTCCAGGTGGAGGTCCAGGTCCTATGCAAGGAGGTCCTATGCAAGGTAGTCCAATGCACATGGGCCACATGGATGGTGGACCTGGAATGGGACAAGAACCACCTATGATGGGACCTATGGGAGGTCATATGGGCAACGGTACTGGCAGTCCTATGATGGGAGGACCTGGTGGAATGGGAATGGGACCTGGACCTGGAATGATGCCAATGATGCGAGGAGGTCCAGGAGGAATGCGACCAATGATGCGAGTGCCTCAAATGGGTTTTGGATCTGGAGGTCCAGGGCATGAAGGAATGTTTCCTGGCGGTCCTGTAGGTCCTCCCATGGGCCCCGGCAGTGGCAATCCACAGATGTTTGTAGCAGGACCAAAAGGTAGTCCGATGGGAATGGCGCCGGACGCGACGCAGCCGCTGCCGCCGTCTATGGGACAAGGTGGCGGCTTTAAAGGTGCTCCTTTTGTGGGACCTACTACCTCTGACCCAAACTATGCCCAGCAATATCACAATTTCCAGCAACAATTGTACGCAACCAATACCCGTAGTCAAATGGGCGGCGGCGTCCAAAATATGGGGCCTGGTCCAGGCCCTCCGCACATGCAGCATTTGCCATAAACTAGAGGGAGTAGGACATTTAACTTTAAATTGTTGGACTTACTTTGTCCTTTTTATGACAGAGGTTTCACTATTGCTCATTTATTTGTTTCTATCCAATCTGTTAATCGTTTTATTGTACATTTTATGAGTAAGCATTAATTGAAATAATAACAATAAAATTCTATATTGTATATTTTAATGTTTTATTTATTCTCACTCACATAGTATAGTTTTAATAAATGATAAATGACTGGAATCAAAACCTTATTTAATGTCCCCTTCTAGAGTCACGCTATCCACTTCTAGTTTCTTGGTTCAAATTCACAGAACTATCTATGCATATCAAAACTTCTTGTTCAGGGCTTCTAGGTTCGCAAATTATCATGACCAGATACATATGTTTTCTTTACATCCCAGGGGTCAATTCTTGGGAGACTTCAACTTGATATTTTTACATTGAGTGATTGTAGTAAAGGTAATTTGATGTGATGCTTATTTGCTATGTGAACTAAATTTAATGGTTGATATAAATTAGGAATTATCAATTATTGTTATTGTTTAATGTTTGAATGATTGACTCAGTGACTGATATTATTTTTTTTTTCTTCTGGTACTAACACAGCTCTGATCTTTGCTTTGGATCTCTTAGAGGCCGCTTAGATTCCTATGGCTTTGATTAGAGCCTCACTGCTACTATGAGAAGCATTCTCTGTACATCCATATCTCTAATTTCATATATGAAATGGCAAGTTTAGCTAGAGAAAGTTAACTAGACCAGCTAGATTAGCAAATGGCTTCTCGAACCAATTAGACTGCTTTCAGAACCAAAAATTATTTAAAAGTAGGTAATAGTTGCTTTCGCATTCCTGCTGATGCTTTCGGGTAGGCCTAATTTACCAGACGGCGGATGTCGGTTTCAAATTCTAGGCTACAGCTTTCTGTTTTCTTGTTCTTGGTTGTACCTGGTAAAACTGCCTTCGGTGTTGATACCCACCCATAACGACGCTCTAACGCATCAACGAGCGATCCATAGTTTTTTTTGAGAAGCAGAAGCAGGCGGAAGTGTCTCTAATAGGTCTAAGATAGAGCCATGTACCTATGCTACAGCCTGTACAATGGAGCTTCAAACTATTCATTTTTTGGCGAATGGTTCCAACTTCGTGACGAATACTCCCAACTTCTAGACGTCCTTACTTACTGCATTCTTGAATTTATTACCTACCTATCTACACTCCCAGAATTTTCTGAACTCTGGTTTGTCCCTCAAAGATTACGCACTTTGCATCAATTCTAGGCGAAATTTAAAATTCTCTTGAAGCTCCAAGGATGACACTACTACTACAGGATGGCCTATCCTCATAAGGCCTGTGTGTAACAAATCCCCCCCCCCCGCCAAACAACCAGTTGTGACGTAAGCAGCATGGCGTTTCTCGCCGTGACTTCGGTTGCTTAAACAGCTGACGACTTAGTTATGACGTCGGCAATGGTTGAAAACAATTGAAAACCAATATGGCGGCGATTACCAAAAACGAGGCCGATAAGCACTCCTTGGAGTGTGTATTCTCCTTGTGAGGCTCGTCCTGTTCTTCTTGTTTTTCTTTTTGTCTTAGGGCTTCCTCTACTTATCTTTCTTTCTGTCTTCGGTCTTCTCTTTCTGTTTTTTTTCTTTTAATTTCTACGGTGTTCCTCTTCTTGCATTTATTTCTATGTCTTCTTGATGTAGTAAGAGTGTTGCAGGATGGTCCAGCCGACTCAAGCCCACCAATATTTGATCAACTTGATCCATTAAGGGCCCCATACACTACGATAAAACACGACGGTTTTCACCGCCACGATGAAACACGTCGTTCTAAAACCGAAGTGTGTAATAGAAAAACACGACGGTTTTTTAAAGGGCCCACAGACTACGATAAAACACGACGGTTTTTATCGCCACGATGAAACACGTCGTTACAAAACCGAAGTATGTGGTAGAAAATTTCATGTGTTTCATCGTCGGTTTAAAATTCAATCCGAGCTTGATTTTTGGCACGACGGTTCAACATTTCGTACACACGAACGGTATTCTACCACACACTTCGGTTTTGGAACGACGTGTTTCATCGTGGCGATGAAAACCGTCGTGTTTCATCGTAGTCTATGGGGCCCTGTAGAAAACCGTCGTGTTTTTCTATTACATACTTCGGTTTTAGAACGACGTGTTTCATCGTGGCGGTGAAAACCGTCGTGTTTCATCGTAGTGTATGGCGCCCTTCACGGCCGTGTCGTGTATTTACCATGGAATATTCAGTATTTTTCTTGAAACTTGATTTTTAATCTAAAGTTCTGCGGCGATTTTCAAATAGAACACGACGGAGAGTTGCTCTCTGGTTTTTCGATCTCGTATTTAAACTAACCACAAAGGCGGAGTTCGTTTTTGTTATCTTTTTCGTCGATTTGCTCCGAAATTTTGACAGGCACGTGACTAGATAAGACAGTTTCAGTTTACAAATCACGTGCCTGTCAAAATTTCAGAGCAAATCGACGGAAAAGATGACAAAAACGAACTCGGCCAAACGGAGTAACTACGCGGCTATACTCAGCTTCTTCGTTTCAAAAAAACAAAAATGGTTCTGGCCTTGTTCTGACTCAATGGCTCCATTAATACTACCTGGGATGATTCCCATTGTGTGGACAAGAGCTTGGCAATGAACAAGCCAATTTTAAAGTTATTTTAAATTTTTTTACCACAGAATGTATTTAAATTCAACCTCTTATTCCTAGGTAAACATTAAGAATAAGCCTAGAGATTATTATAATCCGTCCCTCTCAACTGATATTGAAAATTAAGGGCCAAAACTGGCATACAACCATTTTTCATGACCAAAACTTTACATGGTAATCCTTAATGGAATCTTAATACAATTAGGTACATTATACAATCTAGGTAGGTACACCAAGACTGATATTTTATGTTGAAATTTGGGAAAATTTGGATTTATTGCAGGGGCTGGGTCTTTAGCACAAATTTGCCATAAAAACGCCTAAATTCTTTTAAAATTTAAAAAAAAAAAAGATTAAAAAATCTTCTGGTAAAGGCTTTTTGTCCTGTGGTAGCGTGCCACCTATGGACTATGATTAAAGTCCCACTGAAAATCTAGGTAAATCCTAGATTGGTTGGATTAGTTGTAATACTAGCTCCGGCCTTTCCGAAGGAAAAAATAATCAATTTTTCTTATAAAATTTTAACAATGATTTATTGAACAAATCGTGATTATAGGTAAGGAAATGAAAGAGTGAGTTATTAACAATTTTTACGGAAATGAAACGAAAGAAGACCTAATACGGAGCTTCCGGAATGATAGGGAGTGAAATTTATGAGCGTCCTGTATACGGCGGTTCGTGATTGTACAAGTTACATGAGAAATTTAAGATTAAGGTACACAAATAAAGACTACGTTAAATTCTTTGCGGGTAATGAGCCACGTGCATCCTCGACAAGGTAATGACCTTGCTATTCAAGGTTAGATACATGTCAAGGAAGAAATCAGAGATGTGAAGTTAACCCAACGGTTTTGTTCTTTACACAGGGGAGAAAATAAGTGATAGAAACAAAACAACAATCATAATGAATAAATTAATATACTTGAAATTGAAACATACCTGAGTTCTCGGAGTCAGCAGAAAAACCTCAACACTAAACACCAGAACTTTGCCACAGAACTGCAATATAATCGAAACTTGATGACGCTTTTGGAAGTGTTATCGGTCACGTAGCCTGAAAAAAGAATCAATTGGCAAACTTGAATCAATGGTGCAGCTAGATAACCTCTGACATTGTCGGCTCGCATAGAGAGTATTTCATTAAGATATGGTGACAACTGTGTTATCAGCGGGTTAGTAAAGGGCAGAAAATTGCGAAATTTGTTAACTGGGTGGTATTTTTAAAGACTTTGAAATTTAAGGACTTATTTTGTCCGATTGTTACATATTTACCAATAATCACATTTTTTTATCAACTGGCATTTAAAAAAAAAAGGTTTTTCTGGGCCGTTTTGTTACATTACCCTCTCGTAAAACGGAAACATACTCTCAGACTCTCAGGTGGTGTATGTTTTCGGAAATGATTATTTAACAAAACGGTTTAGACTGGTCGAGGATGTTCGTACTGGACGTCCTGAACTTGCTCTACCTCCGGGATGGTCTGAAAAATAACCCTGGGATATCCTCTGGTTGGCATCGGCAGTAGACGAGTCAGGCTCATTCTGGTCATATCAACATATTCAATACTATTGGAGACATGGAGCGGACGAGGACGTGTTTTGGTGATAGCCCAACGCCCGTACCTTGTCTGGCTGCGTTGACGTTCTAGCCTAATTGGCAATAAAGCGTGATACTAATAAGGAGAACGACGATGAAGTGGGTCGTACAGATCATGCTGGCTTCTAACCATACAGGTGTTGAATTGGTTGTCTACTGGATCGGAATGAGGTCAATCATGGTGTGAAGTTCTTGTAGCTCTAGATCGGTAGTAGTGAATTCATGACCTTTAAATTCCTTGAGTAGCTTTAGTGTCTGGATCTCAGGTTGGTCTTCGGGAGGGTTGAACTTGGATGCTGTCAGCTGCGTCGGGAAGTAAAACTTCTCGAGGGTCGTATTAACGGCTCATCATCATTATTGCGGAAGTTTAGTTTGTGCATAAAAGTTTTTTTGTAATGGTAGTAAACCGCACCCGAGACCACACCCTTGCAGATACTGGACGGTGCGGATTTCGTAGTTCTTGCAACTACCTACCGTTACCAGCTAGGCATTGGATTATAGCCCTTAATGGATACCTAACTGAGACTATATGCCCATCGGTTACACACCTTGTGATAAGTCTTGGTATTGAAGTCGGAAGGCGATATACGCCCAGCAAGCACGAAACATCTACAGGCAGTTTTGCGATGTTTTTTTTTAAATCCCCTGCAGATATTGTTATGTTACAATGTAGAGAAGTACTGAAGATTTTTAATTGCGAATTTGAAATGTCTCATGCCTCTGTTCTTTGGTTATATTACGTTGGGCCGTCCGCAAGAGATTTTAGAGACATTTATAATTTAAGGGACTATCTGAATTCTATTTGCACATACTGGCAATATTGCAGCTTGCGTTCTGTAGAATATAAATTGGATATGTTCTACGTATATCGATGGCTTGTCCCACCGAGACGTCGGCGTCGCCCAAAAACCTGTATAGTATATTTCATATGAACAT